AGGTTCATCTAGATGGTATTGATGTTAAGGATCTGAACGTTGGTTGGCTAAGAAATCATATAGGCCTCGTTGGGCAAGAACCTGTCCTGTTTTCGACAACAATTTTAGAAAATATTAAATATGGTAAACTAGATGCAACTCAAGAAGAAATTGAGACTGCTGCCAAAATTGCTAATGCGCATAACTTCATTGATGCCTTACCATTAGTAAGTCCTACCATTAGTTACTTGTCTCAATTCAGCTTTTCGTTTAATCTATATATGTTTTTATAAGTAATTATTTTTAAATAGAAATACAATACTCTTGTGGGAGAACGTGGAACTCAGCTGAGTGGCGGTCAGAAACAAAGAATTGCTATAGCTCGTGCCATGATCAAAAATCCTAAAATACTATTACTGGATGAAGCCACTTCAGCATTGGATACTGAGAGTGAAGCTATAGTTCAAGCTGCTCTAGATCAGGTAACGAAAAGATTATTATATCTTCTAAAAGTGGAAAATGTTTAGAAAATCGTTAAAAGAATCGTTAAAAAAAATCTTTCGTAAAAAGAAATTAAGTTTAGCTCTATCAATAGCTTTTTTTTCTAGTTTTTGGTAATAAAAAATTTAAAATATTTAAATCTAGTTATCTGTTTCCACCGAATTGACCTCATAAGAGTAATAAAGTTTTACTGCGGCAAGGTACATTAAAAATAAGGGATATATGATTTACTGCTTTTATTTTTAACATATTATAATTTATGAGCACAAAAGTTTCATTTTTATTTATTCATTTTGGCGAAAACTCTTTATCATGATCTAAGTATTATGTTTCCATTAAAACCTAAGGAAAATAATAAGTTTTTATAATAAGAACTAACTATTTTTAAGTTCTAAGCTAATTTTCATTTTTCCTTCACATCACACATTTTTCATTGCACTTTACATAGTATACTTAACGGCAACATAAAAGATTTTGGAGCTTGAGATAATTTATAAAAAAAAAGGAAGAACAAATAATTATGCATAATTTCATTATTTTTGTTTAAAATACACAATTTTAAGAGTAACTCTAACTTTTTGATTGTGATATTTAGTTATCCCATGCAAGTTATAGACATCCATTATCATACATTTTCAATCAACTTATAACAATTATTTTAAGAATTTTAATACTAAAACATGTTAATTTTAGGCTCGTAAGGGTCGTACAACTATTGTTATCGCTCACAGACTTTCTACCATAAGAACTGCTGATAAAATTGCTGTTCTGGCTGATGGACGCATAAAAGAAACTGGAACACATGAAGAATTAATGAAAAGAAAAGGTCTTTATTATCAGTTGGTTGTTACACAGGTAAAATGAATTAAAAAATTATATTATTCAGTTAATGCGTGCTATATTTTAATGTTTAATTCCTATTTAAAATATCTTTTACAAGACTAATACAGAAGAGAAAACGGAGGAAACGA